CTGACTCAAGGTAAAAAAAATTCAAGGTTGAAACATTTGAGTCTGAACATCTCTCCTTATGAATTTTAAAATGGATTCTGTTCCACTTTGGGACCACCATTCAGGCTTTAAAATAGCAAAAGATTTTAACTTGTGTAAATGTAAACTTATTTATAAAGCTTTTCCCCTGACCTTTTATAAACAATGACTTTGACTCTATATTAAAGATGATGAATGACCACATATCAGACCTGCCCAATCATACCTTCATATACATTTGCCAACTGCCATGATTCAAATAAACGAATATAGATATGACTCAGATGAATATTTCACTATCAAGCATACACTATGAACTTCTTGCTATTTCAAAACAGTCATTTATAAATAATTCCAGTAATTATTTGTTGCTTTTTTTAATATCATACTGTATTTTTCCTAATCAAATCTTTTGTTCTTATTTCATAATTTTTCATATCTTTGACCTTGATTCTCTTCTTCTTTCACTTTTTGATCCTCTTCTCTTTCCTCACTTCCTGCCCCCCACCCACTCTCTACAAAGTGGGCACGTCTACATGAGATGCTTAACTGTACAGTAGCCTAATTTACTGCACAGTAAATGTGTGCATCTACATTCATGTATACTTACTGAGCAGTAAATTACCCTAATCACAAGTAAATTTGCTACTTGAAAATGCAAATGCAAATAGCAAATTTACTCGTGATTAGTTACTGCACAGTCACACACATGCGACATGTGTGACTGTGAAGCTTGGTGCAGCACAATACATACATTGTGCTGCAGGGAGACGTAGGCTGACCCTGAGCAGTGTGGGTTGGCCAATCAGGGTTGCCCTGTACACTATTGCCATCTGTTCCCAGGCAGACTAGGGAGCCTACAGAACACACTGAGGTATGTGCATAGGAGGCCCCTGGCTGTGCAGCATCAGAACTAAAGATTCTCTGTTCTTCAGAGGATCTGTATTCAAATGTTTGTTCAGGCCTCTCTAGGTACGTTTTTCTACCGGGAGAATTCTCAGAAGATTCTCCCAGGTCATCTGAACATGTTATACAACCTTCGTCATCACAACCCTGGCTTCTCTGTTACCTAATCTCCTTACCTCCCAGAAATCCCACAGTGGGTTATGTATTCCCTAATCCTTGATTTGCATTCTTCTGATTTCCTCCTTATTATGTTCATATTACTACTATATTATTCAAAATCTTAGGGGCCTCAGCTGCATACTTGTTCTCCCTGAACTTCAACTCTCTGACAGGATCAGGCACAATTTTTTCTTAGACATGGTTTCTATGCTGTCATACTATCTTCTGCCATTCCCCATGTGTGAAATAATTCAAGGCAAATCTATCATGTTTTCCTTTTCTAGGCTTAGGTTACAAAATTGATAATCTGAAGGTGGTGTAATTATTTTAAAAAATGACACATTCTTTTAGTGGATTACAGGAGGATTTGTACTCTTGGTTTCTACCTCTTATTTTGTCTTTACTATTTTGAAAACATTATCACCAAACCTTTCCCCTGTTATTTCATAATGGTGATTCCTGTTCTTTTATGATAATAAACAATGAATTTAACAAGCAAAAGGCCACAGTCCACAGTCAAATGTGCACATATGCTAATGAAAGCTGAAAACAATCCCTGCCAGCACCTGCAAACATTCACTCAGTCTTTGGTGTTTTTCTTGTGAGGGCATCATTGAAGTTCTACTGGCCAAATAGAGTTAAAAGACTTATTTTTAGAGCTGTCAATTGATTGCCATTAATGTGCATGATTAATGCATTAATTGGTTCTTGTGTTAATTTTTTTAATGCATGAATTATGCACATGGTTCTGGAGCCCATGCCTGGGCTCCACTCCACAGCCATTACCAGTTTCTCCAGGCCACCCAGTGGGGCAGTGGTGGCAGTGTAGAGGAGCTACAGGGCAGCCCAGGAATGGGCTCCAGGCTATTGCAATGGGGTGGGACACACACAGATACACAGACATGGGGACACACACACAATCAGCTGCAGCATGCACTTGGCCAGAAATACAGCCTAGCAGCCTATAAAGTAGCTCCCAGCAGATAAATATGTGGAGGGGATGGGAAAAGGGAAGAGTAGGGCAGATTGAGGTCCCCGTGGTGAGGAAGGAGTGGGATGGGGGCAGGGGCATGGGCAGGGGCTGGGGTGAATGAAGTCCCGGGACTGGGATGAGTTGTGGGACTGAGTTGTGGGTGGCTTGTCCAAGACTGGAAGGGGGGGAGGTTCCTGCCGCTGTACACACCCCCGGGGGAGGCATGGGGGACAAGTGCCCCCTGGATTTATGGGCTGGGGCTCTGTGCCCTGCCATCTTTCCCCCAGGAGCCACGTGCTGGCCATGCCATACATCCCCTGCCTGCCTGGCAGTGGGAGGCGCAGTATGGTATCGCATGACTCCTGGGGCAAAGGCAGCAAATTACAGTGGTAATTACAGCACATTAGAGCAGCCTCGATGCACATGTATAGGCACCCTATGAGACTTGAATAACTGCAAAATTCTGAAATATTACATGATGTCTTTTCTTTCCATTTTTGGCTAGTTCTATTTTAGACTGTTATGTAGATGTTATGTAATTGACAAAATGGTCATATCTCTTCAAACAATGAGTGTTACTTCATGTCTACTTTCAGTAGACACATAGCCCAGTAGCCAGAATACTTACTAAGTTCCAGATCTAAAGCACAGAGTGGTAAAAAACAATGCATGTGCAAGGGGACTAAGCACCTTCCTTGTTAAAGTCTTTGTATTTCCAACTTGACTTTCTCATGAATTTCTGCTGTTTTATGATATGCATGATTGAAAATTATTACCATGAGTATTTTTCCCCCTTTCTCTCTCTCTTAAGTGCTAGCACTTTTTTTCAAGTGCACAAACAGACCACAAATCAGTTACTTCGGCAGTCTGCTTACAGAAGATAATTCTGGTAGTTTGTCTCAAGTAGTTTGGATTTCTGTCCAAATCACTTTATATCAGAATCCAAAAGAAAAACTATTGTAGAAAACTGTATAACTGGAAACCCTGTTTGTTTAAAATTGAATGCTAAAGACCCTGATGTACAACAGAAAACAAAATCTCTTTTATGTGACACTTTCTATGCTGGGGAGAAATTCTCTACTTCTTTTTAATGTATATATGATGAGTTAAAAAAATAAAATTCTTTGTTTACCAAGCAGAAAATGTAATGTTAATGAAGCAATTTTTTTCATAGTTCTTGGGAGGCATGGTAATTTGATATTTGCTATCCTCAACAGTTAAAGTTTCTACAGTAATTGTCATGTTCCCCATACTAAGCATAGGGGAATACTGCATATGCCAAGTAAAGGATAAATACTTTTTCATAGTGGGTGCATCTACATGAGACAGTTACTGTGGAATTGCCTAATTAGCTCCAGAGTAAAGTGTCACCGGTCTATACTTGCAGAGCTATTAGTCCACAGTAAATTAATTAACTATGCAATACGTTAGATACAAGTACTACCCTACAGCAGAGTTATTCACTCCACTGCAATGCATGTCTAGGATGCGATGGGGCTGCCTCAGGAATGAGGGTGCTTCAGTATGGGGGCTGCCTACTTTATGCCCCAGGCAGCCCCTCCGCAGCACCTTGAACTGGGTTAGAGCTGCCTCAGGCTAGCTGCCCTGGCCCACTACACTGCAGTCCTGGGTGCACATTCAAATGCAGTTCCTGGGAGCAATAAACTCCATTGTGAACTGCACCACAGTTTATATAATTGTTTTAATAGCATGTGTAGATGTGCCCAGTAAATACCAAAATTTTTGGAGGTGCCCATGCTAACTTTATAAATATATATTAATACTTTCAACTTCCTATGTTTTGGTATTTACTTTCTAACAGTTCTCCCTTGTAGCACCATTTTTGAGGACTCCTAAATACTAAATATTAACTATTAAAAGAATTCACACTGAATTTTTTTATACACCTTCATTTATTGCAGGCTTATGCACCTGGAGTGATATTTTCAAAGGAGCATAATATGGGTAGATAACCAGCTCTCATTGGCATTCAGTGGCAGTGGAAGCCCATGCCTTTTCTTAAATATTTTGAAAATCCTAATCCATGTATTATAAGTGAAAGTTACTTTCATTTAGACAGCTAGGACTAAATCTTGCTGATTTAAGTAATTATTTCTCTGCTGAAATCACTGGAGTTAAACATTTACAGTAGCTGGTGTTCTGTCTCTCAGAGCCATAGAGGAAGGGTAGGAACATAATGGATAACATCTACTTGGTTCTCATGTAATGACTTAAAATAGTGGGCATACTTGTACACAGAGTGCAAAAACTAAACGCAGAAAATCGAGATCTCTTTGGAAAAGTATAGGTTGAGCTAGCTGACTCCAAGAGTTCTCACTGGCTATTTATCATTCGCTGAGGGAGGACATTTCTGCATGGCCTCCCACCGGCATTGTAGTAATGTTCAACACATTCACTGTTATCCACCATATATTTCTCTGCTTCCTTTCTGAACATGTAAGTATTAGGATTAGAAACTTCCCAGCCTGCCTCATGAAAAGTGCCATTAAACACGGTTAACAGATGTACAAAAAGTGCTGATTTTACAGAAGTGTAATTGCTTACAGATCTTTGTATTTTTAAGTAGGGCTATATGGATATGATGACACTTACTAAGATGAAAATAAATATTTTTCACACTTCCTGTTACTTTTGTGACATGCATAATTTTATTTTTAAATTGCTAATGTTTCCCCCCTTTAAAATATAATGCATTTTGAGCAAATTCCTTGATGATTTCCTTTTGCACAACATAATAAAAATAGGAAAATGGTAGGTTAAATGGAATATTGTGGAAAACATCTTGATATTTCCCCACAGCCATAACACAATATAGATAGGGAACATTGAATTTATTGGGGCTGAGGAGCTATGTATCTTTTGAGTAGATTGTTCCATTGTATTTCAAATAACTTTGGTCGTATTTTAAAGAAGTTATACTTACTGTCCTCTAGAAGTATGAACAAGCAGAGTGATCAGTGTGGAAGTAGCTGGGCATATGCAATTTAAAGCTAGCATAGCATATTTGAACTCCTCTTCACATACAACATGATCTGTATAAAAGATAACGTCAGAAAAAAAATCAGTGCTCTATAAATATACTTTCTTTACTTCATCCTATGTGCCCTGATCAAGCTACTCTGCCACAAGAACAGCTTGGGAAGCAGATTGTAACTGTGAGAGTCACAATTTGTGTCCATATCTTCCCACTGCCCTGGGAGAAAGTAAACTGTGCCAGATTTCAGCAGGGTGCAACATATGTCATTATGCCGGCAAGCTGTGTGGGCAGAGTCAAGACTCCATCTAGTCTTTCCTCTTATTCTCCACCTACATGGGTAGGAAAAGTAATGGTTCTGTGAAGCCTGCCTCCACTTCCATGCTGTATCTCTGATTTAGGGAGCCTGCAGAAGATGGCAAAAGTCCAATTCATACCCTCTTATTTAATTTGTATGGGCACAGAGGGCTATGGATGATCTATCTCCCATTTGTAAAAACAAAACAAAAAAGACCTACTGAAAACCTGAAAAATTATGGAAAGTTCATGATAGCCACTTGCAGATTGATTTAAAAATAGTTATTATTTTCCTGATTATTCATATTTTAAAAGTTCAGAGAAGGGTGAAGCCTCAAAAATATGGTGATGATGTTTCCCAGAGCACTCTCTTTCCCAGTGGCAAGTAGGTTTCTAGAGCAGAACTGTTTCTGTGATTTATCGCACTATTCTTCCCACTATTCCCACTGTCTTTCACAAAGCACGTGATGCAAGAGAAAATATTCACAGGATGTTACAGCTATTCTCTTTATTCCCTATGTCTACTTTCTTCTCTGGACTTGTGAAATCCATAGAAAAGGATTGCCACACCTAAAATGGACAAGGTTTTCCCAGATCACTACAAACTAAAAATGAATGTGTCCCACGAAGAACAAAAAATCTGAGTATATTTTTATGATATTCGTAGAGAAGAAATAAAAAAATAACCAAGGGGAGACATTAAATCGAGTTTACTTTTGCATGTGATTTTAAATACTGTGATTTATATCACTTGAGATAACTGATATTTATGATCATGCTTAAATGCTTTGCAAAATTGGATTTACTGTGAAGAGAAAAGAAAAGGGTACTCTTAGATGTTACTCAGAAATGTCTGTTTATATACAGTGAATGTAAGGAGTAAAGTATCAATTTAATCCTCTATGCACTAAGAAGCTTGAAGAGTTTGGAAAGGTAAATATATAAGGTCGCAAGTGTTGTTTTCAAAGCTCTCTTGACTCTATCATGCGCACTGATTACATAAGTCGTTTCTCATTTTGCGGTCTGATTCTATTCTCACTGTTATCAGTACAGCAGGATTGCATCCCAAAAGCAAAAACAAAACAAGTTAAATTAGAAAATCAAGATGGCAGCCATCCAAAGAGGCAACTTGTACAAATCCAAATTCTCTTCCCTAAAACATTAGTTTTTTGGTTCAAGCGTTTATCCGTTTCTAGGTTTATTGCCTAATCATTAAAATGTTTAGCACCTCTCACATTTCTACCTGCCTAACATTTTCTTTATGGAACTTGATTTTCACAGAGATAGGAATTTTTTTTTGTGAAACTGTGACATACTTTTATTTTTGATTTTCTGCCGCATAGTAAATGTGCCACATGGTTAACTCTGAATCATTTGAAAATTAGCTTTGAAGATGGAAGGAGCTACATTGTGTGGGGCATGTGCTTAGCACATAATGACAATGTCCACATGGAGAATTCATTTGGAATAGTAGAATAAGAAATATATGGATAACAAAAAGAACAAGGAGAATTTATCCAGTCATTTTATACTCAGCTTTTTCGTTTTCTTTTTTCATTTTGGCCATGGCTGAAGGATAAAAGGGCCAGATAACATAAAAAGGAAGTATGTTGATGAAATTTAGTATAATACATATGAAAATATATTATACATTTAATCTTGGAGTAGTGTTATATCTTGCTATACACATTCCTCTCAGGTTTCTAATGGTGTTAAAAGAGAATATTGGACAATGCAGACTGAATATCATATGCCACATAGTCATACCAGCCACAGTTATCCTAAAATTATGCAGAGCATTTACCAGTGCTCAAAGCAGGGAACCAGAAATCAGCATTCTCATGGGCTATTTGTGGCTCTCCCATTAATTATGTGTGACCCTGGGTAAGCCATTTATGTTTTCTGTGCCACAATTTATGCATCTCCAAAATGGATAAATAGTAGCACAAAGATGATAATAGCTCCTTATTTCATGAGGGTATTTTGATGCTGAAAAAAATATATTAATAAAGTAATTTGAGAACATAATATTAATGTTTCTTCTAGAATACTATTATCGTTAGCAACATTGTTCTAATCCACTGTTCATCATTTCACATTTTCACATTACATAATAAAACATTACTAATCTTCTAATCTTTAGCAAATTGCACACTTCCATGGAGCAACACTAATGTTTGAGAAGATTTACTCCTGACCTTCTCATCTAAAACTAATTACTCTTACATAAATCTGAACTTGAATCTAATAAAGCCTCAAGTGTCCTAATGCATGTACTTGAAAAATCTATGTACTTTGGGAAACACAGTTCTGTGAATTACTAATTGTCCAAAATTATGCGCAACCACAAATCATAAGTTGGTAGATATCTACCATTTAATGTTTTAAGCCTAAGTTCTTCTCTCATGTATTTCAGGCACAACCCCCGCCACCCCCACACACACACATCCATGTGCTAATTAGCCTCCCACTCATGACTGGAACTTGGATGTACTTATCACCAATTCTGGACTCCTCCAAAAATGTATATGTAGATGAGGTCCAGGACAACCTTGTCCAACTCCCCTCCCCCCTACCATAGAGAGTGGGGCCACACAAATCAGGATAAGACAGGGGGGTGACAGAGAGTTACTGGGTGAACTGTATACAATATTGTATCTTACCATGACTCAAAAAAGAGTTGTCAGTGAGCAGAACTGCACTTAATGGACAATTTCCATGTCTTGTTCGGATAGGCTGCACTAACCTATTCTTGTAGTAGGTTTCCATCAGCATGTTTTCCCAATGTGCCTTACATTTAGTGTTGGTGACATTTAATCAACTTCATAGTTGGTTTTTATTACTGAGCACATGGTGTTTTTGACAGAAGTTTATGATAGACAATGTAGTTAGCGATATTTCCTTATATACAATTATAACATGAGGGGTTTCCCCCCATGCCAATGGGGAGGGACCCTCATCGTATTCAAGTAAATATGGTATATAGGTAAATCAGAACAACAAAGAGCAACACAGGAGCAGTTCAGGCAGCACACTCTGCTGATAAAATGTAGAAAACATATAGACACTTAATACGTAACATCCCTCCACTCTAGAAAATATAGTCCTGTAATTATTTGAGCCAGGCAGAGATCTATCTCTTGTGGTGAACTCCAGGGGTAATAGACTTTTCACTGTAGTAGGCTCCTCTGGCTTTTTTAGAGTAGCTTGCAGCAAGGGAAGTTTAGGTTAGATATTAGAAAAACTTTCTCCTGAGGAGGGTAGTAAAGCACTGGAACAGGCTACTCAGAGAGCATGTGGAATCTCCATCCTTAGAAATGTTTTAAGACCTGAATAGGCAAAGGTTTGGCTGGGATGACATGGTTGAGGATGGTCCTGCTTTGAGCAGGGGACTAGGTTAAATGAACTCCTGATGTCCCTTCCAAGCCTATCTTTCCATGATCCCATGGGTCTTGAACAGCAGCTGATAGACTTCTCAGAACTGGTTCTACTAGGAGTGTAGTGTATTCTGGTGTTGCAGAGGTCACATTGTCTGAGATTCAACCACACAATATGTTTGAAAAATGTCTACCAGAAGTCTGGGGTTTATTTGATACTGGTCTCATAGCTCCAAGGACAGATGCAGGCACCTGCTACAGCCCAGTCACATAGGTTTGGATGTACACAGGTTTACCTGGTTCAAAGGTTATTTATTACAGTTGAAACATCCTGTTTCTTGGAGAACTGGATTTCTTGCCTCGTCTGGTATTTGGTTACTGTATCTGGGAGGACCCAGTAAAACAAGTTTTCAGCTGGCAGTTCATGAGTAGTTTTGAAGGGCTGCAGCCTGTAGCACTGTCTGGAGTTATATGCTGCTATAGTAAGAAATTAGCTAATTTTTGGTTTCAATTAACATCTATGATTCACTTCAATGGATCTTTAATTGTTTGGACCATCCCCTTGGTTTGGCCATTTGAGGATGGGTGGAATGGTGCGGATATGATGTGATGGATAAGATTCCTCCTCATAAACTTCTTAAATTCTTCAGAAGTGAATTAAATAACATTGTTGGACACAATACTTTCTGGAAGACCATATGTTGTAAAATGTTACCATAAAACTTGGATTACAGTGCATGAAGTCACTGATGCAATTAAAACAACTTCCAGCCATACTGAGAGATCATTAATGACAATAAAGAATATCTGGCCTTGGAAAGGGTCAGCAAAATCTATGTGGAGATGAAACCATGGTGTCCTGGTCACTTCCCATGGAAGGATTGTAGCCTTAGCTAGTGCATGGCCTGAGGCGTGGCATGGTTTCATGTCTCTTTACTGTTTGTTCCATGTCTGCATGTCTTTGGCCAGCAAACATAACTTCTGGAAAGTCCTTTCATGTAAATAAGTTCTGGACATTCTGTGTGAAGAACACTGAGAATTTGTGTTCAATCTAAATTAGGAATGACCATTTGGTTACCACATAGGTAGCATCCCTTAAGGACAGAACATTGGCATTGATGTGTAACAAATTTCTTCATTCATCTACAACCTTTGCAGAACCCCACCATACACAGTTTATGACTTAGGTTAACACAGATTCCTTAGCAGTCATTTGAGTAATGCCATCTTTCTAGAAAGGATCATCAGAAGAGAAGTCTAGCATCAGAACTTTGGAGAGTAGAAAACTACAAGAAGAGGATAATTGCAAATGATAGGGCATATGTACAATCAACTTCCTGGGACAGTGTTGAGATTCTCAGCTATATGCATTTAAAAGCAAAGA